ATATATATATATAAATTTACTGAAACAAATTTGAGAAATATTCGAGTATCAAAAATGATTTAAAAAATACTTAATTTAAATGAAATTGCTGAAATTCTTTTTTGCTCCTGAAATAACTCCCTTTGTTCTAATACTACCTACGATCAGGCATTTCGCATCGAGTGGGATCCGAACCTTGTTTTTTGTGATTGACTTTTAATTTTGTGTATAGTGTACAATTGCACTCGTGCTAATTATACCACTGCACTATTCTTTGTGTTACGTTTGCGACAGTATTTTCCGCGATCGAAGTCCCGTGGGATCGCGGTAAAAGAGATGAAGTGTAATAGTTGATGTCGAATAGATTAATAGTAAGGATAGATGAATGCACTGTTTTGTAGATTAGCACAGAAACGATGTAATAAAATAGATAGCGGAATAAACTTTATTGTGTCGGGTAGAATGGTTTGGTATTTGTGACTAACTATAGTTTGTGAACACACCCGCATTATTAGTTGTATGTGGAATGTGCTTGATTATGTTTGACAGCCAGCTCATCCTCTTTTTCCTAAAAGTTATCGCCAGTATTACATACTCTACATACTACATACATTAGTAATGACTATTTTTAAATTATACATTGTTTTACTTTCGTAAAAATTTAGTAAAAAATTTACTCAAATTATTTATTTTTTTTTTTATAATTCTAGTAAGGGCAGTGGAGGATAATTGTTTACAATAATGGACAACCTTGACTTTGACATATGTTGTCAAGGCCCTGTATGACCTTGACCTACTCGTTAATAAATTTAACAAAATAAGTTTTATAAATGAGTTTAATTTTATGATGGCTTTCCACGCGAAGCGAGATTTATCCCATCTCCCCCAAAGGTATCCGACTTTCCACCGCGAAGCGAGGTCCAGCCTATCTCTCCTCCTACCTAGGAGTGTACGACTTCATATGCTTGTAGATCTTACTTCGCGTGAAAAGTCGGACGCCTGAGCAGGGAAGGAGGTAGGATGGACCTTGTTTCGGGTGAAAAATCGTATAGATACATGATACTAAAATTGCGCTTTAACTAAGGTCCAGTTTCACAACTCACGGTTAATTCTAGAATTGAAAATAGATGAGAAATAAGTTGGCTCTCGGTTATTAAGAGTTAAATATCTCAGAAACTATAAGAGAGCACTACTTAGTTGTTAAGGAAAAATTACTCAAGATGATGATTTTGATGATATATATCAAGGTCAATCAGGGCTCATCAGGGCTGATTCCACTGTAAATAATTTCAAAAATTTACTTTTCTTTGGGCATTTCCAAGGCATTTATGTGTTCATTTTATTAAAATATTAGACATATATATCGTTGGCTTCCATATTTTCAATTTTTTCTTTCGTTTAAAATTACTCGCAAAAATGTTTAATTTCGCGTCATTATTTAACTCTAATTTTATTGTTACTTTGTGACTAATTACAAATTTTTTTCCCTCGCATTTTAACCGTTTTATTTACGAGTTAATATTAAAGGGGAAACAAATATTTTTAATAAAGCATTTTTCTAGCACAGTAAAAAGTATAGATAAAGGTACAGATAAATCGGAAGAAATAAGATTTTTCTCTTGTCTTTTTTTTATCACTTGTATGCGGTAATGAAAATCAGCATGAACACGTGAATCACATATTCGCTTCTTGCATTCTTTTTTCCACCACTTCTTCCGTAAGTTTCGAATTTTGATTTCCGATCCACTGCACTCGTACAATTGTAAGGTTTTATTCTTCTCTTTCTTATTTCGCCATCACCGAAAATATTCTTCACATTTTATTTCTCTTTTTACTTTTCCAATTTTTCGAAGGTACGTATTTACGTGTCGCTTACTTACAATTTACTCACGAAGCTCGGCGCGTAACGTTATTTCGATACCCTCACTATATCTTTTTCTCTCTTTGCGATTTCTTCAATTCTTTATCGACGTAGGCGTATATGGGTGTATATGGGCTTATACGTGGCCTTCTCTGCTTTTCTGTCCACAGAAAATGATCTTCATCATAATCTGCGTCCTAATATCGGCGGTCATACTAGTCGCCATAATAGTAGGGTGCCTTCCAAGAACCTAAACGGCCAAGGGGGGTGTTTTTTGTAGGGGAAGGAAGGGTATGGGTGTCAAACAAGAAGAGTTTAACGATTTTGAAAAAGAAGGTAGAGAAAGAAAGGAAAAACGAGTGCATCGCGATAGCAAAAATGTCATAATAATAATATTAATAGTAATATTAATAGTAAATATAACAATAGCAAAGTAACAATAATAATATATGCAGAAACTTAGTTGCGATCAACTTGGGGAGAAACGCATGAGATCGGATGTGCAGTGTAATCAGAAGTTTCGTGATAGGAAGGGAATAGATGTGGAAGAATTATGACGTATGGAAGTCGCTTAGAGTTGTGAACGTATCTTTAAAGTCGCACTAAGCCAAAAAGACAAAGGGAAATAGAAATGCTAATAAAATGGATGTCCCGTGCCGATCCTAATAACACGTTTCTCCGTAATTTTACGCCGATAATCCTTCGACTAATCTCTGTAACAAACGACTAATTAACGTAATAATCTGCACCATCGTATCCGCTCATTTCGTTAATAGTAAGTACACTTCATTACACCACTCGATGTTCCTCCGGATTGTAAATGTCTTAAATCGACGGCGCGATGTCGTCGACGTGGTAATCTCAGTTTCGGGGTACTCGTCTTGTCAGTTTTATTTGTGCAAATAATCGATAATTGTGCTTGTGATTAACCGCAGAAAACTGAAGATGTGAAACCCAGTTTCTGGAGGAAATTCGAGATGATTGTCGGCAATTTTATTGATACGCATTCGTCATTTGCCATTTATTTGATGAGAAGTAACAAAATTTTTGTTCCGTACTTCGAGATACATGAAATTAATTGACGAAGATGTACATATTTAACAATACTTTAATTCAAGTTTTTTCTATTATGTATATTTATGTATGTGTGACATATATACTCTCTAAATCTGAATCAGTGGATAGTCACTAATTATGTTACTTAGTGACATACTTAGCACTGATAATCAGTAAAGTTCAACTAAAAAAGAAAGAATGTTTGAGCATTATATAACTAAAATACTGACATTTGCACGTTAATTTCAATCTTCTAATATCGTATTGAATTTAAGCAATTATGTATTAATAAAACAAGGTTAATTAGATCACATGATAAAGATTAGCTAGATTAGGGATCTCATATTTAATTCATTGATTACCAGTGGCATACTTGGCACTGATATTAATGATTATTCACTCATTCAGATTTAGAGAGTATAATATATGTTTATATGATATGCTTTTATTATTATTGGGTTGGCAAATAAATTCATTCGGTTTTGTAGGGTGGAATATATAAAACAATTTTATACATATTCTATTTTCCAAAGAATTGGCAATTATACTATTCAATAGAGCAAAGTTCAGCATTAATTATGCGGAATTAAGAATCGGTTTTTTAATTGCGGTACGATAATTTTTAACGAAGTTATAAGCAATCAGTCGGAATGCTTTTTTACTTAATCCGTGAATAACTTACAATAGTAACAAAAAATCATAGGAACATTTTTTTAATCGAATTTTGAGAGAAAACTTTAAGCTTTCCGTTTTTTCAGCTCGTAGTTTTCTATATGTAAAAATGAAACAAACTTACGTAAACTCAAAAAATATAATAACCTTTCAAAAAAGTAACGATTTCAAGCTTTAAAATCATTTTTTTAAATTTAAATTTCGTTTTTTTAATAAAAATATCGTGTATACAATTTAAACTAACAAAACCGAACGAATTTATTTGCCAATTATAACCCAATTATATTTATCAAAGTTCAATGAGGCGCGTATGTACGTGCGTGAATGTATTAAATGTCCTCCAAGTTTTCTGCATTTGATCTATAAATTATTTTGTAAATAATCCGAATGCTAAATCCAAAATTTGCAATTTATTCGTAACAATATATAATATATAAATGTTTAAAAAACCAATAAAATTTCTGTTAGCAAAGTATTAGTTCCATATTACTTGATGGATTTAAAGATGCGAAGAGAGAAGTATGGAACGTTCTGTGTTAATAATATCTATTAGTCTTTGAATAAAAACAATAAAAGATACCGAAAGAATATTGTCAATATATATTTCAAAGGCAAATGCTGGATGAATGTGAGTAAATAGCGTTTATAGATGCGTTTAAGAATCTCTCTGATATACAATTAAACGCTCGAAGTCGGAACTGTCGTTTCATCTCGAATGCTCATCCAAAACCGTCGCGATTTCAGTTCAATCTGCCATTTCGTTTCATCTTTTCTTTTCTTTTTGCTTTGTTTTTTTTTCAAGCGATCATGCAATTATTTTATTTTACAGAAATTGTTCCTGATATCGATCTGCGTTACGATAGCAGTCATCATTCTGATTATCATTTTGGCAGTTAGTTTAAGTTAGCTTAAGCATGCGTACGCGACGTTGACGATAGAAAAAAAGAAATAAACACATTCGCAGAGTAAGTTTAACGGAATGAAGGGGAAAAAATAGAACAAATCGGGACGGGACAAGTATTTTGAATTGCCGAAATATTCATCATTCTTATCTCGTCTCTCCAACGGCAAACCAGAATCGAATAACGAAGATTGACGCGGATCACGTCCATCTTAAATCTTCGGGAAATTCGGACAGCGCGATACGCATCACCGATCTCGAGGTACTGTCTACGCAAGATCGTTAAGTTTATTTATTATTAAATTTTAATAAATTTTATGTGTTTATACGCGCGTTTAGCCGTAAAGAATTTACGTTGTATTTTCATGATTACTCTAATCGCGGGTTAACCAATTGTGTATCGAATGTAATGGTGATCAGAATTCATCGTGCGGATGTAATTTCCCGGAAAAACGCCTCGATGGACATCGCAAATGTCATAACGCCAGAGTAGAAGTTAAGAACGGTGATAAAACGTGGGCTATAAGTCTGGGTTACACGAAGAACAAACTATCACTTAGCGAAGATTGCAATTAAGTTCCTCCTATTGCGCCTCAATACGTTGGAAAACGCGTAAAACCGCGATATTAATTTTTATTACATTCTTTCGAAGAAACTATGTATATCTTACCGATTGCGAGAAGAAATCAATACAAGAATTTGTATAAACTTGCAGAGCGACGGTTCTTGAAATTAAAAAAGAATACGTATATATATA